TTATAATATGATAAATTGTATAAAATCATATTTGAGTACAAAGTTGATAAAATGTATAAAACCATTTAAGACAAGTAACTGATGGCAAAATAAGGTAATCATCGTATCAACTTGCGCAAGTAATTGATAATAAAATAAGGCAAGTTATTAATAAACGAATTAACTAATTAAAAGCCTTTACCAACAAGGTATATCTTTCTTAATACCATAATATGGTTATAAAATTAAAGAATAATAAATAATTTTGATTTTGATATATTGTAAATCTATAGAAATATATAATAATTATGTTTATCACTTATATTTATTATTGAAATTTGTATTTAACCGATTTAATTCTAAAATTAGTATTAGAAATTTATACAAAAATGTTACACATATCATATTCTAACTCTGAATTATATACATAATTTATTATGTGATAAATTGTATAAAGTTATATTATAATTGACATAGAACTATATAGTTTATGATGACAAAAAAAAAGATGACAAAAAAAAAATATAGTTTACATATATGAATTTATAGGATATACATATTATAATATGATAAATTGTATAAAATCATATTTGAGTACAAAGTTAATAAAATGTATAAAACCATTTAAGACAAGTAACTGATGGCAAAATAAGGTAATCATCGTATCAACTTGCGCAAGTAATTGATAATAAAATAAGACAAGTTATTAATAAACAAATCAACTAATTAAAAGCCTTTACCAACAAGGTATATCTTTCCTAATACCATAATATGGTTATAGAATTAAAGAATAATTAATAGTTTTTATTTTGATATATTTTAAATCTATAGAAATATATAATAATTATGTTTTCTCACTTATATTTAATAGAGAAATTTGTATTTAACCGATTTAATTCTAACATTAGTATTAGAAATTTATACAAAAATGTTACACATATGGTTATCTTTGATATGCATATGATATGATTTTAACTTGCGCAAGTAATCAATATTAGTAAGGTAAGTTAATAAAAATAAGTTTCCTAATTAGATACAAATTGTTAAATGTCATTAAACAATGTAATCAATATGATATCAAGAGTAAATGGTTTACCGTATTTGTAATAAGGAAACTT